TGTATTCTTTTTGGAAACAGACTCCTAGCATTAAAAACTTATATTTTTGTTGCCACTTTCACTGTCTCCAAACGGTTGTATACTATCTAAATTGACAGTGGATAAAAATGAAGTTTAGTTAAAAAACTTTTTGTATATCTATTCACATGAAATATTGATGGATAATTATGAAATCCTACTGCCATGAAAAGACTCTGAGGTGTTCAGAGCCAAGACAAAAAAGGAGTATTTTTGCCCTTCAGTTTTGATCTGTAGTTTCCATAGCTCAGTTTCTCAGTTTGACTTAGCATGTGATATGAAAGTTCCTAAAGAAGAAGTAATTTTTGCAAGTAAACAATTCGACGTGATTAGGGAAGAAAAAAAAATTGTACTATGTTGTAGCTAAAGAGATGCCATGGGAAAGTTAAAAAATGAATTCTGGCATGACAGTCCTCTTAAACGCCAAAAGACCTGCCCCACCAGGTTACAGTGTTTCTTTGTATGTGCTGTTGCCTTGAGCATTCTGTGCTCCAGCGGTATACAAGGGATACTCTTTGATTCTTCCCAGCTAAACAAAAGGCAAATTCACTTCTAGAATACAGTTTTCTTTCTTGTATTTGGAAGTTTGTCTATGGAAAAACTTTGGAAGTGTACTCTAGTTGTCTTAGTTATATGAGGGGTTTTTTTATAGTTCTGGAGCACCAAGCTGTCAAAAGCCTATTGAACATTGCTTTTTGTCCTGTTGTATTCAAACAAGTATGACTGCAGTCAATGCAAAATGTAAGTTGAGATTGTTCTTGTGTAGCATTAGCCTGTCTTTTATGGTATCTAGATAAAAACAGTAGATGCTGTGGGAATAGACGAATTCCTGATGAGTGTTTTTTATGTGATGAAGTCTGTCAAAATAATCTCATGTGGGAGGTTGCCTCATGTGTTGATCAGGTATGGTTTCTGCTGTTTCACTTGCCTACCAGAGTAGGGTAGTCTTTTAGGAACACTGCTTGTGTTCTCTGCTGTAAGAAACCAGTCTTTACTCTCTTCTTCCTATTATACAAGGTAATTCATAGGTTGAGGAAGCAAAGTGCAAAAACAGCTGCACAGGCAAAGGCAGATGATAATTTGCTTAATTGTCTGTATCTCAGACATTCTTCTTTATGACCCTTATTTCTACCCAGTCACGGCTCCTGAGTAATACTGGATTTTTTCCCTTCTTTATAAGCATGTGAAACGAGCAGATAGGAGAGTAAAAGTTCAATTCATTTAGAGGAAAAGATAAGAGTATACAAAGTGGTACCCAAGAAAAATGCTTTGAAACATAACAGGATTTTTTCCATGCAGGTGTGACTTACCTAATGTTTCACTACTGCTGCAGTAGGTGACTTTGTAGATACTCAGGTGAGTTTTCTGCTTAGTGATTGATGTGGTATATTTCCCTTTTGACTTAGTCTTAAGTGGGTCAGTTGTAGGGATAAGTAATTAGTGTGCAAGTCTGATTCAGGATAATCTGTCTGATTATCCTGCAAAGTATGCAAAGCAAGTAGCTTATTTGAGTTTAAAATTTCATCTCAGCAATATGGAACAAACATTTGAAATAGCTAGTTGCACTTTCGTACCTTCATGTGTCCATTCATCCTTCAAATTGCTGGAAAACATCCCATTCCAAACAGGACCCAAAGATCTTTGATTTCACTTCACAAATATACATATGCTTACCAGTTTCCACACAGTGTATAATGAAACCAAGTAGTAACATGCTGTAGTTTGTGTAGTCAAAAATTAGAGGCCTTAGAGAGCTGGAGCTTCACTTTGAGATTTTGTGAGACCATGCATTTGTGAATTTTTAAATCTGTTAGAGCCAGTAGGCTCTTTCAGATAGGTAGAATTTCGAAGGGTGTTCTTCAAACATAGACTTTGTCTTGATAAATGTTGAACATGTAGTAATGAGCTGGAACGAAGGCTCAAAGGAGCCACTTACTCAAATTCTATGAGGACCTAGGGAGTGGGAGGGAGGCAAACAAAATAACTGATGCTTTCCATGGTAATGTGGATTCCTGCCTTTTTAAAGATGCAACTAAATAATCTCTGCCAGCAACAACTTGTTTCTGTAACTGTAATGATATATCTGAAGAGCAAATACTTTGCTTTTTGAATCGTGAAAATAGAGCCTGGTGTCTGATAGGTTCAAAATATGAAAGAGGGGAGACCTTAGTTAAGAGAAAGTTCCTTAATTTTATTATCCCTTCCTTAATGTCTGCTGATAACAAACTAGGCTGAGAAGGTTTATGCACTGGGTTATATCTCTGAGAAAAATTTCATATAAATTTTTGAATTTGAAATTCAGGTTTAGTTTTTCTTTAGAGGACATGGAAGAATGATTATGAATCTATAATCTTAGGCAAACTTTGACTGAGTCTGTTCAAAGTGCCAGTGCTGTAGAATGAGTCTCTGTAGGGGAGTTAGTTTTATTATAAAAAATAAACAAGTATGCGTTAGGTTTGAGATTAAACTACAAATTAAATGCTGTTTTAAATACAAGCCAGTTCTGTGTGGTTTGGGGATTTTTTTTTGTCTGCTTGGAATTAATGACATCTGAGGCAAAAATCCAAGATACGAGAATATGAGGTTTCTGTATTTTCTTTCACATTCCTCTCAATTCTTGTTCTCATTTTTCCATTCTTTCCAATTCACATTCACTTTCCTTTCAATGTTTTTAAAGACCATTGTTGGAAAGTACATAATTTTGTATATTCTTTGAATTCTACTGTGGCTGCCATTGAGTATGAAGTACAACAAAGATAGTTATTTTTTTTTCTTGATACGGTGAAATTTTTAGCATGGGAAAAAAAATCCTTCATGCTTCGCTACACTATTTACTAAACATCAGTTCATGGTTGTTTAATATTTGCTACACAGGTTAGCTGGATTACATTACCTTTCTCATGTGCTGAACTGGTTGCAGGGTGTGTTCTTGCTTGGACATATTTTCCGCTATGTAGTGCGGTAGGGGGTTTTGTTTATTTTGTGGGAAATGTTACCATATTTGTAACAGTGTGTGGATGGAAGTAATGGTGAGAGGGATAAAATAAATTTACTAAGTATGGAGGAACAATGTATAGAAAAGATTTGGAGATGGTAGTAGGAGAAAAAATAGAACAACAAAAATATTTGCAAGGAAGGTGGAAATGTAATGTGTAGAAATAGTGAAGTCTACAGAAGAGAGGCAGATATTCAAAGTAATTTGGAAAAAGTTACAACAAATGTGTCTGTTAATAAGTAGAAAAATGAAACAAACAAGGAGGGAAAGATACAATCTACACCAATAAATAAAGTCATCTATATTTTTAATGACTAAGACATTTGCTAAATACATAGATTAATTTCACTGTACATCTTCAAGTATATTTTTCACATGCCTTACTGTCACATTAGCTCACTAGTGGCTTAAATAATAATACAAGAAGAAATTATTTCTGCCAACATTAGTCTTAAAATCAAATATATGAAATTAATGCTTTTTGTATGATTTAACTCTGGTAATACTGAAAAAGTTCATCAGCTGTTAAGCTAGCTGTCAAATGTTACAACAAAGTGCAGCAGGAAGGGCAGAGAAGATTTACTTTGTACTCAGTAATTGTTTGTGTGGAGTAGGGAGAAGAGCTTGCATATCTTGAGGAGAAGCTAGTACTCAAACTGCTACTCAGACTCTCAAAATTGCCCCATCCTTCTGTGGTTATTGCTTTGTGAACCGCTTCCTTGTACAGTGTGGGTGCTCTGGATGCCAACACACTGACACTGTTCCAATGCGTGGAGTAAGGCCTGCCTACCCCTCCACAGTTTGCTTTGTATGCAGGGCTGCAACCTGTAATACCTGTGTTTCTTCTTGTGAGTGAGTTACTTTGAATTTAGTGGTGACAGTTACTTTTTTTGCCCTAATTGTTACATGTAACTTTACAATCAATGGTTGTTGAATATGTATGAATATGACTTCAAATGTATTGTTTCACATGTTTTTTTCTCAGCACATTTTCGTTCTTTTTCATGTGTGACATAGATGTGAACCATATTTAACCATTTGGAGTTTGCAAATCTTTACTTATGTTATCAGGAGTATTGTGGAATAATCTAGAGGTATATCCTTTTGTTGATAATTTTTTGTTTCTGAACACATTTCATTTAGCTTGTATATTAAAGTCAAAGCAGTTGCATTTTTGTCCTGAGATAAGTTTCAGCTGTTTCTTACTACAATTACACTGTTACTGCTAGGAAAATGTTTTAGGTGAATGCCATTTTGATTTAGTAAGGGAAAGGACAAAACAGTACATGGAATTAAAACAGACTCCTGAAGACAAAAGTGGAGTTCTAATATGCATTTAAGAGTGAGGGTGGTTTAATATGAATGTCATAAGAATAGAATGCAAGATCTAACATGGAGAGTTGAAGTTGTTTTTTTGATGTCAGTGAGATTTTACTTTGTGTGGGTACACTAAGCTGTTGAACGGAGTTGTATTGTTTTTCTTGAGCTGCAAATTCAGTTAGACTTAATTCCCTTTTTACAACTATTTTGTATCGTAATCTTTTCGGTTGCCTCACTTAATAGTTATTATCTTCATGAATTCTGGAGAATTTTGAACTCTACTTTTTGGCTTGATTTTTAGCAAGCTAAAGGTGCAAGTGAAACAGTATTCTAAATGTATCTTAATCCATAAGCACAAATATAACTTCTGCAAATGATTGCCTTCGTCTAAGCTTGACTGAATAATTTCCATTCAGTTCTGCATTTATGGGCTCTTCTTTAGGAGCAGCAAGATATTCAGTTCCCCATTTATGTTACTAGTTATATAGTCATTCAGTTTTGACTATGATTAAAGTACTAGTGAAATTAAAATAATGCTATAAAACTACTTATACCAGATTGTTAACATTTCATAGATCTAAAATGCACAGGTCTAAAATCCAGTACATGCATGTTCTTTTACAATTGCTTTTTGTCTATTACAAGATTTTTATTTTTTTTTAAATAGACTCTCACAGGACAGCAGCAGGAGATAAACAACTTAATACAGAGAAAAATTGCTGTGGATGAGGAAAATGCCCGTTTGAAGAATGAATTCAGTAACTTGAACCAGAAATTTAAAGATAAAAGCCAAGAACTTAAGGTATATTAACTTGTACATAGTTGCATAAGACTGTAGCTTTGAAGTAGTTCTTTAAGCAATGTCAGCCTTTGTGGCACAGAAAGTGACAAGCTTGGAGAAAAAATTGCCTTAGGCCTTGCTATACTTTACCATTTTCTTACATACCAACTCCGAGGAAGATGCTTTAAAGCCAGGAATCCAAGCTTTATAACTTTCAGATAAATAGTTAATGATGGAAATGGAGCAAAGAAAGTAGGAGTGTGAAGATGTGGCTTCTTGTAATTAGATTCTGATGGGACTGGCATTATTAATTGATAAAGCCGAGGTCTGGGAGGATATGTCTGTGTGGGTCTCAAAAATAGCTGGGGACAGCATCAAAGGCAGCTTGATCAATTAATGGGCTCTTTGCAAATGTGTACTCATCAAAGCTGTCATCCAGCTGAAAAATATGACCCTTCCACCTGCATGAAAGAGGCCAATAAAAGTACACAGGTGACCTTGGCCATCAAATATAGAAGAAGCTGCTGTGAGGGTAAAACTGCACAGTTTATATTTGCTGATTAGTTCTCACTTTTTTTGTTTATCGGCCCTTGTGGTACTGTTCTACAGGACACTGAGGAGTGTGCACAGAAGAAGGAAGAGCAAAACAGACTGGTTATAAAAAACCTGGAGGAGGAAAATAACGGATTAAATACATGCTGTGCTGACCTGCTAAATGACCTGGAGAAACTGAGGAAGCAGGAGGCACAATGGAAAACAGAAAAATCTGGCAATGATGTCAGAATAAAGGTATGAAGTGGAATGGTTTGCTGGATGTTATTTCAGAATTAACTTCTCCAGACGTTTTCACTACAAGTTATTTTCTTTAAATAACAAGTTATATATATTCAAATCTACCAGTGGGGACTTGCATTCATTTATATTCCTTCACTTAAGACCCACAGCTTTTTAAAAATTGATGTTGCAAAGCAGGAATCTGACTTCAAATAGTCATCTTAAAATGTAATCATTAAAAAATAAAATATACTGTATTTTAACGTAAAATATATGTGTGAAATAATAAAAGCTTAAAAGTGTTATCATTCACATTTTTTTTTCTCAATGTGTAATTTACTTACCTATAATTTGGTTGCAGTAGACTTGATATTTGTTGTTTTGGAAGAAAACTTTAAAACTTTAACTGCAGTTTTGAATAAATTGTGTTCTAGCCTCCAGAGGGCTCTATTCTGTGAGAGGCCTTATTATTACATATAATATATTAAGAAGTTATTTTCACTGTTTATGATAAAATGAAAAAGGAAATAATTGAATACATGGTACAGAATATTGTATCTTTTATTTAAGTGATACTTTGTCTGGTTTGCTGGTGAAAATTGGCAAGTTCTTTTTAAATTCCTTTAAGAAATAAGCCACAAACATGGTACCGAAGTGTTTGATGGCTGCTTATACACCTGCCTAGTTAACGAATTCTTTTTATTTACATGGTTAACGAACACTCACAACACTGTGCTCGTTTACACTATCAAAGTATATGACACTGTGGTATATTCAGTGTAGTAACTATCTAATGAACATCTTGCCCAGAAACATCTTTTTTCTCCACTAGCAATTCACGGTTTTGATGACACTTCTGATTATTGTGCTGATGGAAACCCTTTGTAAAGAACTTCATTCAGTTCTGTTAACATGGGAATTAAAGTTCTTGCAAATTGAGGCCTTTGGAGTGGTTACGATGAAAGTATTATAGGATTCCCAGGACAATGAATGATTTGTTGATACTTGGGGGAGAAAATCCAGTGTGTACTAAACAGATTTAATAGTTTTCAAGTTGTGAAATGTAGTGCTTGTAATATTTGATAAATTATTGAAAATCATTGTTACCTACACCCTCAATGAAAACAGTCAGAATAATTTTTTGTGTATCTGTCTTCCTGGCTGATAAGGCACGCTGAAGAGACGTTGCAAAATTCCACGCAGGGACGGACGACAGGACACCAATATGATGATCAAAGTCGCCAGTTTATTGAGCCTAGCTCATCATTCTTATACAATTCTCTAAGTTCCTAAGAAGCTTTGATTGGCTGCTGCATGCAAGCATTTAGTGTCCACGCGCACAAGCATAAAATGTGATTGGTTATATCGACACTGTACACGCGTATAAACATAAGATATAGTTGGTTATACTAACTCTGTACACGCGCATAAACATAGGACATAATTGGCTATATTAACTAAAACATGCGAAACTTGTCTCAGTCTAATTGGTCAAGATAAACTGCCGAATTGAGGTTGTTTGTGCCAAGTTCCCTTTATCGTGGAATGCGCACCTGTGCTTTTCTAATTGGGATCTTTCTTTTTCTTGTCTTCCTGTTCCTTCTGTTCAAGGCCTTCCAAAGGCGTCTGGAATGCTCTTGTGACCGTGAGCTACTTTCAGGCCCAGTCACTAAGTTCCATATAACTGACTTCTACAAAGAGAGAAAGGCGTGTCACAACCATGTGATTCCAGGGATGGGAATAAGTAGTGTCGGTGTTTCAGAGTGGGGTCACAAGCAGGTTGAGGTGACAGAGCGTGTCTAGAGCGTGTCAGCGGTAATTTCTTGAGATGGGTATTCCCTGAGGCAACCAGGAATGACACACAGCTGGATCTGCTGTTCACAAACAGGGAAGTACTGATTAAGGAAATAATAATGGCAGCCTTGGCTATAGTGATCATGAGATTGTGAAGACCAAGATCCTGAGAAGATGAAGGAAGGAGAGTAGCACAGTACTGACCTGGAATTAAGGAGCAGAGTCTTCAGCTTGTTGAGGGAACCAGCAAGTGGAATCCCATGAGAAGCAGCACTGAAGGGTAAAAGAGCTCAGGAAAATTATCAAATCTTTAAAGACAGCTTCCTCTAAGCCCAAGTATGGTCCACGCTGATACTCAGGAAAACAAGTGGATGTATCAGGAGACCAGCTTGGCTAAACAGAATTAATTGCCAAACTCCAGTGTAAGGTGGGGGTGGAATGCAGTATTCAGGAAGTAGAAACAGTGAAAGCTGTTCTGAACAAAGGAGTTCAGAAACATTGTGTGGGCACTCAAGGGTGGTGGTTACCTACCTGCAGTTGAGATTTGCAAGTGATGACAGGTATAACAAGAGTTTTTTTGCACTACTTTAGTAGTAAAAGGCTGAATAAGGAAAATGGGGGCGTGTTGCTGAAAGGGAAGGATGAGTTAGTGACAGCAGGTAATAGATACAGCAGAGGAACTGAATGTTGTCTTTACCTTAGTCTTCGCCAACAAGATTCCCCCAAGCATTTGTGCCTAGAGGCAGACTTCAAGGAGAACTACTAAGAGTGGATGAACTGGGAAGTACCTGAGAGAACTTGACTAGTACACATCCATTGGATGAGCTGAACTGCATCCAAGGGTGCTGAGAGAGTTGCCTGATGTCACTGTCAGGCTTCTGCCTGCCATCTTTCAAAGGCAGTAGAGTTCAGGGGAGGTCCCTGATGAGAAGCATAATCCAAGAAAAAAGGTTGGTTGGCCTCACTTCAGTCCCTGGGAAAATCACAAAGAGAGTTGTCTTGGAAGTAATTTCTGGGCACATAGTTGAGAAGGTGACTAGAAACAATCATGGATTTATCAAGGATGGCAACCTGGGCAACCTGATTGTCTTTTGTGACAAAATGATTGTGTCTGTGGACAAGAGGGAAGCTTGGATGTGACTGACCTTAAGCAAGATTTTTGACAATGTCTTGCTGTGTTCTTGTGCCCAAGTTCAGATGTTACAGCTGGATAGGTGGACAACAACAGGTTTAAAGGAACTATTTGGATGTTTGGGTTCAGAGAGCTGTGGTTAATGCGTTGTACTCTGTCTGTAGGCTGGTAAAAAGTGGTGTACTGCAAGATCTGTCCTGGGCCTGTCTTGTTTAAAATCTTTATCAGTGACCTGGAAGAGGGGACAGTGAGCATGCTCGTCAAATTTGCAGATGACACCAAACTGTGGGGAAGTGAATGTGCTTGAGGGCTCTGCTGCCATCCAGGGGGACCTTGACAGAAACAGGCCAACAGGAGCCTTAACCAGGACAAATGATGAGTCTTTCCCTGAGAGGCAGAGCCCTGCAGCCATAGAGAGGCCAGGGATCAGCTCTGGGGGACAGCCCTGGGCACTGGCAGGCAGCAAGCTGCATCAGGGCCAGCCTTGTGCACCAAGACAGCAATGAGGGCCAGCAGCACCTAGAGAGGCAGGAGCGGGGCATGGCCCCAAGAGCCACAAGAGCCAGGGGAGAAATCGACCCCCTCTGCTCAGTACTCTAGGTCCTGCACCCATTTTTGGGTGTAGTACAAGAAAGATATCAGTAAGCTGGCTGACGGTGAGACAATGGGCCTGGAGACCTTGCCTTGTGAGGAGAGGCTGTGGGGACAGGCTGGTTCAGCCAAGAGGAGGGATGGCTCTGGGGCTGTGGCCATCCAACAGCATCTCCAGCACCAGCAAGAGGGGGGTGGAGGAGACACAGCCAGGCTCTTCACAGCTCTGTGTGGCAGAAGGGTAAAAGGCAGTACAAGCTGAAACAGGAAAAGCTGAGGCTGGAGATGAAGTGAAACCTTTTCCCAAGGAGGACAGCTCAGGAGTGGGGCTGGAGCCCAGGGAGGCTGGGCCATCTCCATCGTTAGGAGATTTCAACCCCTGACTTTGTGAAGCCCTGAGCAGTCCTGTCAGACCCCCTGGCTTAACCTGCTTTAGGCAGGGTCTGTGACTGGAGACCTCAGTAGGTTGCCGCCCACCTGCATGTGTCCATGGGTCTGATGACCCAGCTTCTGCCTTTCTTGCCCCCCTGCCCCCCACCCCTTTTTTTCCCCTTTCCCTTCTGTGATGTTAGACAAGTGACCATACACCTTTGCTAGAGGACAGAGTTAGGTGAAGTTGATGATCTCACAAGACTATTCCAAGGATTGAGAAGCATATGAAAAATACTACCTGCAAGAGGGAAATGTTTGACCTCTAGGAAGTAGTAATATGTTGCTTCATTGTTTTTTATCAGTATTTTGTAAAAAAATGATTTATAAAAACACGCAAATTCCTGTAAATATTTGCTTGAAAATTTAAGATACAGTTTGAATTAATTTCTCACTCTGTTCCTGATGTTCCCCATTTCTATTACTCTGCACTCAAGAATCAATATTGGATGCCAGATTGGCTCTTAAAAGGATGCTTATAAACAATAAAGAATAATAATTTTCTTATCCACAGTGGCCAGGTATGACAATTATCACACTATACAATATTGGGCTCCAGATAATGTTCTAATATATACACCCCGATATAACATGTCTCTGAAATGCTTTCAAGAAGTAATCTATAAGCAAATTCAATAATGGAGTTGTATTGTTTTTTCCAAGTGATTGTAAAAATGGTTATAGATTAAAAACCATTTGAATTCAGAAATTATATCCCCTTCTGAAAGTCAGTTCTGCCTCTCAGCCTTGAGTTTGGGAATTGAACCAGCATCTCTTTTTGTACACATTTTTCAGTAATAAACACTATATTTAACAATATTGTAGATGATGTTGTATGCAGACCGTATTTATGTTAGTCTCCTATATCTGTGGAAGAATAAAATGAAACCTTATCAATGTGAGCTACCTCAACATTGTTTTTAAAATATGCATTAGATGATAAAATTGCTAGGCCTAAATAACAGATTTTTCTTTTGGAAAAGTGGCCCTCTGTTCAGAGACTGAACTAAGTGTTACAAGCCCCCCTTGTTTTTTTTGTTTTATTTTTTTTTCCCCTAGTCTTTAAACCATCTTCTATGCAGAAAAGTGTCACTTGTCACTTTCAAACACTGGTTGTTTCCAGTTCTACTGTAAGCTGAATTGGTGTATAAAATTCAGCTTTTTCAAACTGAGAGGAAAAAGATTCTGTGGCTAGTTTGTCCACTTAACGAATATGTCTTTAAAGATTTTTCATATTAGTTGAAATCCCAGTGAGACAGATTAACAGGAAGAGACCTGATAAGGTGGCTAAAAAGGTGGCAATAGTGTTTTATTGTTTGTCTTTCCTTTGTATACCTTCATATAAATAATGTACAGTGTACAAAAAATTAACATAGGGCTTTGCTTTCTGCCTTAAAGTAGTTCTTGAGAATTACTCTTCTGTGCTTTCCAGGGTTTAGATCAGCTTTCTGTATCTCCTGAAAGTGCACGAGTGGAAAAGCTGTCAATCAGCCACTTTATGCATGGATGTGTCTCCATATTTAAGAATTAAATAGGCATTTGAGTTATTTTGTTGTTCTTTCGGTGGAGCTTACTTAAATTATTGTTTAAGAATAAGAAGAATCTATATTTTCCCAAACTTAGTCTGTCACAAAAGACTTTGTATGTAGACACAAAAAATGTCACACTGGTGGATATTAAGTGGAGGTGTGATCTAAAAGATAGTGAAATTGCTTACTGTTTTGTTTTTCTAGTTAGCAAATTACTTGTTAAAGTTCTTGAAATCTGAAGGTGGGAGCTTTTAAAGAAACAGGGAGAAGTGTCTTATTTTAAAATTAAGCACTCTGAGAAACAGCCATCTCTGTCAAGAGGAGCCTGAAATTTTAGTTCCACTGAAAAATGAGGATTTTATTGAGATTGGACCTTGAAAAAATACTCTCACTTCTGTCATAATACATGACAAGAAAAAACATGAAAACAAAGCTACTGTATTTGAAAGTGGCTTTCTAAGGATTTGAAGGTACAAATAATGAAACCTAAGTGTTAATTCAGTTAATTATGGACAGTGAGTTCATAATCTATGCACAACTATGCTGCCTCATGCCTTGTCTATGTGTTATGCTTTTCATGTTTGAAGTTCTTTTAAATTCACCTTTTCTCTGATTTTTCTGAGTTTGTAGTTCTTGGGCTTGAAGTGATCAAAATATTCCTGTAATGTTTTACCTTAAATTATTATTCTGCTATTTATCTTCATTTCATTTTAGTTAGGATCACCACTTTTCATGGCTAGAAATAATGACGAGACTTATTTCTGTACTTTGCTTTCAGTACTGTTATAAAGAAGTATCACATCTTTTACTGTGTCTTGTATTTTTCTCTAAGGCATTTTCTTCATCATATGATTGAATTATTAGATGTTTTGACTTACTGTGTTTTAAATAGCACCTACTTTGCTTTAATATGCTTTAAAAGATTGAATTCTAAACAGTCTATATGTACAATTGAAATTAGCTTTAATTTCAATATCAGGCTTAGGAGAATTTGTATTTAGCAAATTTTCAGTCTGCATGTTTACGCAATGAAACTACCTTCTCAGCTACTCTATCAGCTAGAAGGCAATATAATAAATTCAACATTATTAAAAAAAAATGGAGATACTAGAAATTGAGTGTAAAAAATTATAGGTTATTTCATAATCTTAGATTTCTGAATTTGATACAAAAGCTCAGTATGTACAAAATGCCTCAATATATGATATTTCAGTATATAAGCTATTTGTATGACCAGTTCCTCCTTACCTCTATTTTCATGTTTTGCCCTTTCAGTAATGCTTCCAAAAAAAGTCAAGGTTTCAAAATAAGTTCACAAGGTTGAACTGATTAATTTGTTAGTTGAAATCAAAATTTGAACTCCCGTATGTCACAAATGGGGCGAAGTACTCAAAGATACTTTTTTTCTGGTTTTAAATTCTGCCATTGTATAACTTCTAAAGTTGTATTTATGACTAATTTGTTACCTATTTTTTGTATTGTATTTACCCTGCAATGGATGATGGGAACTTAAGCACTGGTAAGATCAGATTTTTTTAAATCTCTACCATGAAAAACCTGTGCAACTCTATAGTGTGTTGTGAAAGATAGGCAAATAGGATTTATTCACAGAAAATGTGAACTATTATAATTTTTGTTCACATACACAATAACTTCTATCTGCTGTGGAAAAAAAATAACAAGGAGAAACCCTAAGATTTTTTGGCTGCAAGTTATAAGTACTTCAACATTTTCATATGTTGATAGAATGAACTGTCTGCTATCATTCTGAAACCTTTTGTTATCTGACAAAAAGTAATTTTTGCTACCTATCCATTGAGATTGAATGATGACTTCATTTGTCAGGTACACCAGGTATATAGCCTGAAATTTATCATGAAACAAATACTTTTCCTACCTCATTCACTCATGAATCTATTTCCTCACATTAATGTTACTGTTATTAACAGGACATGATAATTCTTGTCCGAATTCAAAGAATCTGATTACAGTACACTTCTGATACACCCAAATATGTACAAGACACTTTTATGCTATTTTAGAGGCAATTATTTATTAGCTTTTCAGTTATAAAATTTTTTTGGTACCTTCAGTATTTGAGGCATCTTTGCTTAAAGGGAAAATGTGTATTTCTTTAAGTCTCTATGAAAATAGAAGATATACTAATACACTGTTGGAAGTAGATTAGGGATGCTATCCTACTAGGAGGTATTTATTTTAAATTATTGATGAATCCTGGAATATTTGACTTACTGAGAACAAGTGATTGTGTCTGTGAGTAGTGTAATACCAAAGCAGGTCTAAGGCCATTGCCACCTTCTGAAACTCTGCCTTGGATATTACTGTGATATTTCTATTCCCATTCTTGCCTCAAAACACTCTGGGCAAATAGTCCTACGAAGCTTCTTAAGGACTGAAGTACTCTTCTAAGCTGCTAAAACCTCCAGAGAACTCTAGTAAGGTCACTATGTAGAGATCAAAGTCTTGCTTGAATAAGCTGCCTTGCTGCTCTTTTTCCCAGATATACTTTCACACTTTGCTGACTAACTTCTATAATAAGGCTTACTGTAAAAGGAAAACTATTGCGTGTTTACATTTTTTTCAATGAGCATTTCTGGAAGTTTTCTTGTACGCTATTTCTTTTCCTGAAGAAACTATTCCTTGCACTGAATTAGAAGTTCAAAATCAGAGCAGATTTAAAAAGCAGTTTCAAAAATGAATCTGTATCCATGATTTTTAGTTCATGTGTGCAATATTGTGCATTTTTTGGATAACTTAATGAATATATAGCTGCTTATTGTTAGGAATGAGTTTCTTCTGTTTGATTTCTTCAGAGAAAACAAGGTCTAATCAGTTCAGTAGTTAAATAGGGTACTATTGCTTTGCAAAGATTTGATTCAGGGTTCTTCTTCCACATGCAACAAATGAATTAAGAAAAACTTCCTAGAGTAAAGAATAGGTGGCCACCTAAAATTTGAAATGCACATCTTTTTCCTGGTATTTCACATTTTTCTTACATGCACATATACCTATATATATTTGCTTAGACCACAGTAAGTATATGCATGAACGTATGTGGACATCTATATGTCTATATAAGTAGGTAACTTGCATAGTAGATTTTAACTTTCTTATATAACTTTTTCTATATTCTTTGCAGAATTTGGAAGCTGATTTAACAGAGGCAAGAGAACAAATGAAAGAGTTGCGCAGTATATGCAGTAACTTGTCATCTCAGGTAGCTGTGAAACAGGAAGAACTCTCCCAAAAGGATTCTGATGTGATTAAAGCTAAGTAAGTATTTCATGATTTCATTACCTTTAAGTATCAGTCTTCTCAAAAAGGCTATTCCACTTACAAAGCAGTGTCTTGCATTAGCAGTATTTTTGTGCAGCAGTGTGTTTCATACCATTCTGTTCCGCAATCTGTAAAGCTTTTGGAAGTCTACCAGTACATAACAGTTTATGTAGACTGTCTGATGTATTTTGACACTTAGTATATTTTTATTGGTTTTTGAGTAGGGATAGACTTTAAAAATTGCACTCTGTAATTAGGATTGGGTCACAGAACTACCAATCTGCACTGAAAGTAACAAAATACCAATATGATTAGTGATATATAAACATTTAGTTGGAGAGGCTAAATGCCCTAAACTTGGAAAAGCTTTAAGCCTAACTTTAATTTTTTAATTAGAGTCAAATCTGAGGAGTCAGCAGAAGTCTGCATAAGCCTGTGCTAAAGGTTTAAAGTGCAGTGATTTAAGCTTTATCTTAGGTCTCACACCATTTCTTTATACTGAATCTGTAAGATTAGCGCTGCATTATTTAAGTCCTGGAAAAGAAATGAAGGATGGAATGAATTATGAGAATTGACTAGACTACTGAATTCCTCACAATGAAGGGAATGGCAGAAGACAATTGGTAACTTTAAGTGGATTGTCAGAAAACTGTCCATTTTTCACATTTTGGTTTCAGAGGCGTACACAGTGTTTATCACTCCTGTGTTAGACAAATAATGTTCCCTTCAGTATTCCCTCAAACTGTGGCTATGCCTGAAGAGCCGCAGTTGGGATGCAGAAATCACTGGTATGGATACTCCTCTTTGCTTTTCAAGCAGAAGTAATCTTACTGTAGGGAGTCAGTATCTAAGTCTTTTGGGGGAAAAAACTAGAAATATGATTTTTGATGACTCTGACCTAAATTGTCATCCTAGTATTTGTTGAAATCTTTACAGGAAAAATGATGGCTTGTTATTTTTGTATTTAAAAGGTATAACTGTTGCATTTTCAAAAGTCAATAAAAATAGGCAAGTTTAATGAGAAATTGCATTGAAAGAGGCAATCACTGGAATTTGTGAAATTCATCAATGGACTAATAGGCTTTCTTATCTTCTGAAATTGTTATCAGAAATACATATATGTGTGAGAGGACAAGGGACAGCAAAGAAGACATTTTTAAAGTCAGGTGATCAAGGTTTGCAAAGTTACTGCTTGTTGGTTACAGTTCAGGATATTGCAGACTGAGTTGGCCTAAACATTGAACTTAAAATTTCTCAAAATGTATTCTTTCATATTCACTGCAAAACAACCTCTTTGAATTTGTCACAGACATCTCGTTTAAATATGTAATTAAAATAAGCACTTTTTTGAACATGAGGTCTGAACTTGAAGTAACAAAAAGATGGACAACATACTTATTTTGAAGTGTTTGAAGACTTTTTCTGTATGTTTTTCCATTTCCTTCTAAATTTATGGAAAACAGTTTGGCAAACTGATGATACATGTTTTTCTGTGTGCTCAGATGTTTTCCTTCCCAGTTACTTAACTGACATTGTGATGAATGATAGTATTTTACCATATCACTAGTATGTGAGTTATACTTGACATGTTATATATGTATATATTTGATCAGTATCATTGTAATTCAATGTCTGCTAATCTTTCTTAATGAACTGTCTTCAGCTACAAGTTTCTTGTTGACATTTCTATTACGAAAAAAGAAGGTTTCTGCTAAATGGCTTATATAAGATTCACAGTTTCAGGCAGCAGTTTCAGTAGTTAGCAATACAAACTAAGAATTTCAAATATCCTGTATTTTTTTGTAGTACAAAATACCGAAGTTTCTCCTTATTTTTCCCAGGTGTCAGTACATAGGTAAAACTATTTTTATGTTTGTTCTTAATGAAAAAAAAAAGGTCAAAATAAAAGTCTGTGTAGACAAAAGCCAAACTCTTACTTAAATTAAAGCAAGCAAAGCCTCCAGAATTAAAGGAAAAAATTTGAGCAGAAAATAAAGTCTTTACATCTTCTCATCTTCCTAGGCTGCGATCTTAGAACTGTTGACTTAATGACTGAAGCATTTGGTTGTTGCTTTTTTCTTTTTGTAGCTGATAACTAATTTTTTTGTTGTTATCCTTGTTTAAAACTTAGTCTTATAAAAGTTTTAATTGAATGCTCAGTTTTCATTTAATGCTGGCAGAAAATTATTTGGCTAATAGTGTGGAAAATACCCCATCTACCTGACTATCTCCAGTTTCCCCATCATCAGTTTCAAACTTTTGGACCTGAAAAAGACAAGGTGATTTGCAAATCTTTCTGTTCTCCCCACTGCTCTGTCTGTCTCTCCCAGTCTGCTGCCTGCCCCCCTTTTTGAACACAGACCAGGACCACAGCTGTAATTATTAGAAACAAACTCTGGAGGAAAAAAGGAAGGAAAACTGGCTTTCTTCATTTGGTGTCTTCTTTTGTATGCAGTATAGGCAGATCCAGAAAAACACTCCTTCAGCTGACACCTTGGTAATACTGTGAAATTTTTACAGTAGATGCTAAAATCAATTGCAAAAGAAAGTCTCTAAGGGTCAACGTGTAAACTGGTCTGGTGCTCTGTTTCTTGTGCAGTCATAACTTCTTGCTCTGTTCTGCATATCTGTCAGTTTGTTAGTAAAAGCTTTTTTCAGTTTAACAGTAACTTTTTGTAGACATTAAGAGAACTGTTTTCTTTAAGGGGCAGTCTTTTTCAGCAAAATAGTGGGGACCAAAATTTTGAAGAAGTACTCCACTTTAACTCTGGCCCTACAGAATAGCGGGTGTTTTTGAAAATCCCACCCAGTGTCAGTAAAAGTCTGTCACATGCTTCTGAGGTGTGGAAGATAAATTTTCTAAGAGCAGTGAACAGACAGTATTTACAGGGTCCATCATGCACAGCGGATGTTTTCAAGAAGTCACAACCTTTTTTTGCTGGCTTTATTTTTGCAAAGCACTCTTCATCTCACTGGGTTTAATTTCAAACTCCTGAAGTAACTGTGAAGCGCATTTCCTTGTCATATTTTTCATGTTTCCGTTCAGCACAGATTTTCTGGATCTATTTAGAGTCCCTGGTAGCCTTTCAATTTTCATGTTCTTGAAGAACATTAAATCTTGCTGTTTGTTTCTGAAGATTAACTCCAATGCATCTCTGTAATTTTTTTTGTTTTAAAGTTATGCTAAGTGTCAGGATTTAGAACTTTGTGTTTACTGCTGAGCACTTGGTGGTCTGTGTTGCACTGGCCCAGAGCTTTGGTGGAACTCTGAACATCAAACTCGAGAGGTTTGCTTGACTCACTGGGACTTGAGCCATGCTGTCACAGGTATCTAGGAAATATTAAACTGTTTTCAAATATAGTAAGCTCTATTCTAAAATGAATTAGAATTTCTTGCCCCTGTGTTCTTACTGGAAGTGTGTAGCATGACAACATTCCTTTGATTAATTTCTAGTCCATCATTTTACAACCACGTCTTTCAGAACAATACTGTGCCTTTATTTTTAATTATTTCCCCCACCCCCTTCCCCCACCCCGCTGCTGTTGCTGTTTACCTCCATGCTGTAAATTATGAGGCAGTCGGATTTCTACTCAGCCCTTATTTTGGTGCTCTGGGATTTTCAGGTTATTCTTTGCTGTGTGCTGTAAACCATTTCATAGTATCTATGCCGTTCCTCTGAGAAGCCATAATTCATAGTGCCTGTCACTATGTTGTATTTCTAAGCTACAGGTAATGGAATCTAGAGATTTCCTGAATTACGCCAAACCCCCTTATATTCCCTTGGTAATGGGGGTAGCTGAGGTACTCAGAATGCCATCCTATTCTCCAAAACTGTGGTGGTGATAGAAAGCCAACAGCATCACCAGAAGTGATGGGTATGATGAACATTAACTTTATTTGCGGCACAGTTATATAGCTTCTGGAGTGACAGTAGCTACTCATTTCATTTACATCTCTGGGAAGCCACAGTTTACTCTTAAACTGTTGGTATGTGCAGGACATAAAGGTTTTATTTAATGTTATCCTGTAAGGATGGGAGGAAACTTTAGTTCCTACTCTTGTCAGATGTGAGCACCAGAGCTATCTCTACCCTAAACAATAGGAAGGATACTGTTTAAATACTGTTATTGGCAGGACAAGGTGTCAAATCTTTGAGCCTTGCTGCAATCTAGTTTGTAGTGTCGTCATGTACTGTCAACCTTGCAATGTTTAAAGCAAAAATCTGCTAAGGTGATTGTAATCTTACTTTAGCAGCTGAAATAATTTAGTTATGCTCTTCTATGTTGACTTGAGAAAATCCTGACTATTTTTTATGGCAGGCTGTTCCTTATGACTTGAAGAGTGCAGCTTGCTTTCTGTAAATTTCTTGGTTTCCCATTGTATCGGTCTTCAGGTGTTAGATTAGAGACAGAGGGGTGTTGTTTTTTCTCAGTAATATCTGGTGACTTCAATGTTAAATGGAGTTAAATACTCTCAGTGTATCAAGGTGTATTTGTTTATGGGGAGGGTGGGGTGGCAGGGAAAAAATAGACCTAGTAGGTGTTTCAATTTTGGTGGTTAGCTGAGAGAATATTGTTTTTTTGATTAGTGCTGCTGATGGTGTCTTTTTTTTAGGTTTGTGTTTGTGTTTAGAGTGTACAGTATATCGAAACATTTTATCAATATGTGCTTATATTTGTATACATATATCCTAGTTGTGTGTGTACATGTATGCATCCACATATAATTTATATATTTTCCATGTAGATGTATATATTTCTACATATCTGTGTATGTATGTATAGATGCATATATGCATAAATCTATGTGGGTGTGTATATAGGCACATATTTTAAATGCCACTCATTACCTTTGTTACATTCAATTTGCAATTTTTTACTATTTCTTCTGTTACATGCTTACCTGAGAGTATCATTTTCTTTAGGACTGGACATCCTTACCCTGCTGCAGTGACAGGCAGGTGTCTCTCTTGTAGAGTGCTTAGTAGTTTGCTCAT